TTTTTTTTTTTTTTTTTTTTTGCTATTGACAGATAGATGGTGAGTTTTAAGGTTGGTTTTGAAGTAATTCAAATCAAGGTTTAGAAATTACCTGAACTTTTGGGACCAAGAGAAGGCATAATGGTTATGTCACTGAACTCCCACGTAGTTGACCATAGTTCGAGTACCAGACCAGCAGCTTGAAACTCATGTCGGGTGTGTGTGCATGCAAGCCTGAAATCCGAGAGGAGACTAAAGAAGGGATTGTGGCATAGCCATCCCCCTGGGGGATGGGGTGATTTCTTGCTTTCTGTCTATCTCTCCAGCCAGGGCATGCACCCTATAGCAAAAATCTCTCTCTCAAAAAGACCTGAACTTTTTAAGTGTTCAAATAATAGTTTTTCTTTTTCTTTTGTATGGTTGGCATTGCATGAGAAAGTGAACCACAACTTTAAAACTATAAGAAGCAAGCAGGGTTGATTGCTGTCTGAATTCAAGGAGAAAGAGATGAAATTTAGGATGAAAATGAAGAAGGGATTGTGGCATAGCCATCCCGCTGGGAAGTGATTTCAGTGCAGGCTAACATTGACCATGGTTCAAGTCCTGGACCTGGTGGCTTGAAACTCACACCAGGCATGTGTGAGTAAAAGCCCAAAATTCTGAGAAGAAAATGGAGAAGGGATTACAGTGTGCCCATTCCCTGGAGGGTAATTTCTTGCTTTCTGTCTCTCTGTCTCTCCAGCAAGTACATGTACACTCTAGCAAAATTTCTCAAGGAAAGATATTACCGGGACCAGCAGTTGGTATAATGGCTATGTTGCTGGACTCCCATGTAGTCAACTGTGGTTCAAATCCCGAACCTGGTGGCTTAAACTCACACTGGGCGCATGTGCATGCGTGCCCAAGATCCCGAGAGGAGAATGGAAGAGAAGAAATTGCTGCGTGACCATCCCCCCTCGGGGATGATTTCTCACTTTCTGTCTCTCTCTGTCTTTCTGGCGAGCGCACATGCCCTATAGCAAAAAAAAAAAAAAAAAAAAAGAACCTTTCCATAAAAAAGAAAGAAATAATTGCCTTAACTTTTTAAATGTTCAAATAATGGTTTTTATTTTTCTTTCGTGTGTTTGGCATTGCATGAGAAAGTGACTCACCACTTTGAAACTATGAGATGCGAGGAGGGTTGATTGCTGTCTGATTTCAAGGAGAAAGAGATGGGGCAGTACAGGCTAATGTGTCAATTTCCAGACAATGATGGACTTTGAGTTTGGCCTTAGTATGAGTAAAATTTAGGTGAGGGTATTCAAATATAGGGATACAACATTTACACAAAGTGGCAGTAAAAAGAACATGTTGTGGGACCAGCAGTTAGCATAATGGCTGTCTCTCTGAACTCCCATGTAGTCGACCGTGGTTCCAGTCCCGGACCCGGTGGCTTAAATTCATGCCAGGCACTTGTGCATGTGTACCCAAGATCCCAAGAGGAGAATGGAGGAGAAGGGATTGTGGTGTGGCTATCCCCCCTGGGGGATGATTTCTTGCTTTCTGTCTCTCTGTCTCTCTCTCTGTCTTTCTGGTGAGCACATGTGCCCTATAGCAAAAACCTCTTCCAAAAAAAACCAAAACCAAAAACAAAAACAAAATCTCCAAAAACAGCATGTTGTGAAGAGGAGATGGAAAGGATGGAAAGACTTGTCTAACAGAAGTGGTGGGCACAAATTAAAGAGGAAGATGAGATCAAGGCAGACTAGGAAACTTTATAAATATTAGAAAGAGTTTAAGTTCAATGCCATGAGAATAGGGAATCATTACAGGTCCTTGTGTAAAGGAGAGGTATTGAAAACAGTATTTTAAATTGATTTACTTGTATTGTTATCCATGTGATGAATTAGTATATAGAAGATCAGAAAATCCTTGTAAAACTGTTACTAAAAAGTCCCTATGCGGGCTAATTAGTGCTCAGACTCTACATTATTTCATTTAAACTCAAACACATGTAAAAAGAAATTGGCCTTGACTTAAATATTGAGAAGAAAGTTATAAATGAATAAGCTGGATCTTATCTTCCTTAAGAAATGTTTCTGAGTACTGAATGTCAGCACGCTTGGAGTAGGGAAGGCACAGAGTTGATAAATATTATATATGTACAAGAAACGAACTAATTACCTAGAAGTGACCTTTTTGAGATGATGAGAAGTTAAGGAAGTGTATAGTATGTAGGTTTGGATTCTGCTAAATTCAAATGAAAATCCAATTAATTTCTTTTTCTTTGATTTCTATGGTATTAGTTTTTTAGATGCTTTTAAAATGAAAAAAAAAAAGTGTTTGTATTTTAGTTAGAATATTTTCAAAGTAAAAATAACCATTCTTCACTTTTTTATTGCCCCAGCCCCCTTCTCTCTCTCAGATGCAACCAGTTAAAACCATTAGCTATTTCTCCTAGTGTTTAGTTACATATTTTAAAATAAATTTTTGCAAGGACAGTGACACTTTAATAAATCAGGATGTTTTGCAAGACTGATCCACTTGGGAAGGTTCTGGGTTCACGTTCAGAGATCTCTCTGAGTATGTTAAGGTGCCCATGACATGGGACTGACTGAGGCTGAGGTGGTTGGTGACATCAAGACTCTGTTGGGGATGCTGTCTGTGTCTCTCATTTATGATAGAAAATAAATGAACTTGTAAAAATAAGTAAAAGTAGATTTTTATATTGTAATTTCTTTAGTTTTCATTTTTAAATTTTCATCTTTTGGCTTTCTTTTGGGTTAGCATAGATATGGATTTAGCATCTTCAAATTACCTCCTTTGCTCCCTTATGGTCATATTATAATTTTTACTTGAATTAGTAATTATTATCTATATTTTAACCATGTAGTTTCTATATACTTCAAAACCAAGTAGAGTACAGGATTTCATATCTTGTATATCTTTCCCTCTGAAGTAAATAATTGCTTTTTTAAAAGTAGATTGCAGGGCCAGCAGATAGTATAATGGTTACATTGCTGGACTCCCACATGGCTGACCGCTGCTCAAGTCCCAGACCCAGTGGCTTGAAAATCACACTGGTCGCATGTGCATGCATGCCCAAGATCCTGGGAGGAATATGTAGGAGAAGGGATTGTGGCATGGCCATCCCTCCATGGGGGTTTGGGGGGTGATTTCTCACTTTCCCCTCTCACTGTCTTTTTCTCTCTAAGGCAAACCTCTAACCAACAATCAGAAAAAAAAAAAAAAATGGATTGCATAATTTTCTATACACATATCCTTCATCTCTGTGCAGATGTCCCAACATATTGGGTATATATTCGTGGAGCATTTTTGTTTTCCCTCTGTACACCTACCCAATCTCCAGGCCTTCTGCAGACTTACTGTTTGTGGACTTTCTTTTTACTGTTTTTTGTTGTTGTTATTTTTACTCAATCCCTATTTCTTGGATCTTGTGCCATTTTTTTCCTTTTTTTTTTTTTATTTGTTTTATTGGAATACACTGTTTAGGAAATTTTTGAGATAGGTCCTAGAATGTCCAGAAACTTTTTCTACTCATTGTTAGTAATTTAGTTGGCTTGGGGCCAGCAGATAGCAAGGTGGTTAAGGTGCTGGACTCCCACATGGAGACTGCTTGAATGCTAGACCTGGTGGCTTGAAAATCATGCCAGGGGTATGTGTGTGTGTGTGTGTGTGTGTGTGTGTATCCAAAATCCCAGGAGAAGAAGGGATTGTGGATTGTGGCATAGCCATCCCCCTAGGAAGTGATTTCTCACTTTTCCTTCTCATTATCTTATTCTCTTTCTCTCTGGTAAGCAAACACACCCTTTGGCAAAAGTATAATAATAATAATTATTTGGTTGGCTTATTGTCCTCCAGCTTCATGGTTTACTATTTTAAAATTCAAACCTGTTCATTTTCTTAATCCTTCAAATATGACTTGTTTTAATTTTGAAAACAAAAATCTTTTTCTCATCCCGTTTGTTTTGTTTTCATGATGAAGTACTTTGGTGTAAATTATTTTTCATTTATTACGCTTTCTTTCCGTGGGCCCTTATAAGCTGGCAGCTTCTGTCCTTGGAGGTATTCATATATTATTTCTTTGATTTGTTTTTGTTCTTTTAAGAATTCTTCTTAGTAGGTTATGGTCTACCTAAGTCAATCCTAGATTCCTTTATCTTATACGAGGGATTTGTTTTTTTCTAATCATTTTGTTTTGTTTTCCTTTTAAGGTGGTTTTCTTGAGTTCATCGTCTAAACTTTCTATTACATTTTTGGTTTTAGTTGTCATATTTTTTACTTCCAGGGTTTTCTTTGTTTTCCTACTCTTGTTTTCTCTTAACATGCTGGGGTTTTTTTCCATAGAAATACTTTAATCTATTTTGAACTTTTATTTTGTTCCCTCATTTAGCTCTGTTCATTCAGATTTCTTATTATTATTTGTTTTGTCTCTTTATAATATTCATAGTGTTCTTCAAAAGGTAGGTATCTGTTCATCTTTAAGAATAAGTCACTAAAGGGCTAACAGGAAATTCTTAGCCTGATGGGACTCCTCTGCTTTCTTTGCCCTGTGTACGTTCCTGGCTGGCTGGCACTTTAGGAATAGGATAGAACTGGGAGCAAGGGTAAAACTGTTCCTTTTGGAGACTTTTCACTAACTTCTAGCTTTAAGCCAAAGGCCAGAATCTTACGCCCTGCCGTAACTTAAAATCTTTAATGAGACTTTTCTAAAATAAACTACTTGATTCTTGCCTTGCTGAATAAGAGGGAGAAGGGTCTACCTCTGTTACATTTACAATAATTACACATAGTCTAATTGGAAATAATCTATGTAGAATTAAATATAAGTTGAGTTTAAAGCATTATGACAAGACTGCAGCATACTAAGTTTTTAAGGTTAATCTAATTAATTTTAGAATTATTTTATTGTTAAAAATATGAAATTTGGGCCATATCTATAGCACCATGGTTAAGTACTATGCATAGGGAATCAAATCTCAGATGGACAGTTGAAATTTGAATTATATCCCCAGTTTGAAAAACACACTAGGCACATGTGCATGCATCCTTGCCCAAAATCCTATAAAATTAAATTTATATATGGTTAGATAGCATATCGTGAGGTTTGATAAAAACTTAATTTTCCACTTTGAATCTTAAATAGTGTTCAAAAATAAAATGATAATTTGCACTGTAAATTTTAAATTTACATTAAAATCCAAATTGAATATGATGTATCTTTTAATTGATAAAATCACAGTGGGTTTTTTTTTTTTCTGCTTTAATTTTCCAAAGGGCATATACATATACTAAAGTGAGATGGGGAAGGGATTAGAAAGCATTCCCAATGAGTCATGGTCATATTGCAATCCCTTCTATTTTCCTCCTTCTTTTTATTTTTTTTAAGAATTATTTTACTTAGCTTTATTTATTTATTTACTGTTTTAATTTGGCCAGAGAAAGAGTACAAGAGAGAGAGAAAGTGAGAAAGCAAGTCCCCCTGGTGCAGGACTCAAAACACAGTCAGCCATGTGGGAGTCCTGCACCCTTAACCACCATGCCACCTGTTGGCCCCAATTCCTCCCTCTTTTCAAGATTTTGGGCATGCATGCACACACACTGGGGTGTTTTCCAAGTCTCCAGTTCTGGGAGTTGAACCTCATGGTCAGCCATGTATAATCCAGCCACCTTTACCATAAGGCCACAGGCTGGCCTGGTTCTGTGAAATTTTAAATGTCGCATCAAAAATATTTTTGCTTAATAGAACTGTAGAGATGTCCCTTTCTGCTATAACTTGGCTAGATGTTTTTAAGTACTTGTTTCTTTTAGGAATCACAGTGCACTGATCACAAGTGTAGTCCCTGGGGATTATGATGGAGATTCACAAATGGATGTCCTTCTGACGTATGTTCCCAAAAATCATGCCGGTGTTGAATTAGGAGCTGTTATCTTCTGGGGACAAAATCAAACATTAGGTGAATTTGTTTGAAGAGTTTTAAATGTCATTGGAGATAAATGTAACAAAAATATTGTTCTGTACTCAGTTCAAAAATGCTGTTCTTAGGTGTCAGTAATCATAAAAACTTTTTCAAAGTTGTTTTTGTTTTTGTTTTTGTTGTTTTTTCTGATTTTTCTTTGTCAGCCAAGAACTTGTCTAGAGTCAATTCCAGAGAACAAAATTCCCTCTTACTATCTTAAACAAGACAGAGATTTATTAAAGAGTTTTAATGACTACAGAATTACTAGGAATGCTAAAGAATAAACTCCAAGTTAAGCTTTAGGGAACAATCCCTGATGCCACTAGGGAAACTACTGCCTCTCAAGCATCAGAAGTGGCCAGTTGCACACCAGCTACTGGGATGATGCTGTGCCTGCTATGACTCTCACCAGCTATTGGATGCTGCACCTGGCCTCCTGGTACTCCCAAATGCAGTGAGCAGACACTGAGATAAAATTAGCAGAAGCACAGCCTTTGCCTCACTCATGTCTTTAAGACTCACAGTGTATCTGATTTGCAAAGCTTAACTTTTATACTCAGCGTCTCAGAAGCAGGGATATCTGAGAAATTCTATTTTTGGTTTCTCTAGTCTCTCTAGTACCGGAAAACACACACAAGCTGAAGCAGAGGTTGAGAGGCAGTCTACCATATCCACCCACAGACCTTCAAGTCTTATCTGGAAAGCCAATTATAATATTAATAAATAGCTAAATAGACAGCTTTGTTAATGGAGGCAGATTTTAAGAGGGGCAAATGCAGTTGTGTTTTCTGTCACATTTAAATACAGGCAGAAGTGGCAGTACTTTATATTTATTTAATCAGTAAGTATTTAAAGAAGGAGTACCATGTACAGAAGCACTGCTTCTATGTAAGTGTGGACATTTCACTTTTACATATATTGGCTCTTTACACCCAATTGTTAATTGTGAACTGTAGTGTATATGAAGAAGACTCAGCTAAGAGATGAGAGCCTCAGAAGGAAGTTATTTTACTACTGGTCTTCACTGTAGAAGGGACTGTCATAATATATTATCTTTACAAGTTTTTTACCCATTTCAATGAGATTTACAGAGTCTCTTTAATGGTAATATTTGAAACAAATTAGAGATGAATCTTCAGAAAGTAAGACTATTTTTCTAAGTATAGATTTTTAAAAAACATGTAAAATTTCTGCCAATTTGTATATTTTTTCTCTACACAGATCCTCACAATATGACCATACTCAATAAGACTTTTCAAGATGAACCACTAATTATGGAGTAAGTATGTACTTGCTTCTTTTAAAATGATTTTAAACATAAAATCTTTCACAAAGGAAACTACTTTGCTAAGTTTTAATGACTGTAAATTCAGCCTTCCTTAAAGCTGGCAGAAGCCTATAGTCTTGACTAATATGATATTAATTTGCTATAATGGAGAAAAGAGGAAAATGGAATTAATTATTGGGAAGAAGGGCGAGATCTGTTTTTGGTTTTGTTTCAGTGACTTCAAGTGTGTCCATTATAGATCTGTTAGCCATGTCATTTACTCAAAAATTCTTTGAATAAAGCTGTTAGTGCCTAATAGGAAGATATAAAGAATATAGGACTTCCTCCAGAAATTTAGAAAGATTTCTATATTAAGGAGAAACTATTCTTCTTTTCTGTTATCATTTATTTCTTCTAAATAGACTCATATACTAGCATAATTTAATTCAATTTCAAAGGGTATTTTGGTAATGAGGTAGACAGCATTCCATTCTTGGTACTTAAGCAAATTATGGTAACTTTTTTCCAAGATGCCACTATTAAAATCATAATTATACAGCAATAGTTCAGTGGCCTTTAGAAGTCTGATCAATAAATCCATGGATAATCTTCATAAGAGTGCTGAGCTTGATTTCTTTCATAGTTGTATTTTCAATGCTGCTACAATGTTCAATGATCATTATGAGCTATGATACCAGTCAGCATTCTTTTTGTAGGTTCTTTTTCCTGAACTCATTTAAATAAACAAGTAGGGTCATGATTCTGATCTAAGTTTCTATGTGTTAATGCTGTCTGTTTATCACTCAGGTATAGGCTATTTTATGCAGAGGTTACAAACAAACCCCAAATCTCACAACGTTCTCTTCAAATGGCAAGTGCAGTATGCTTCATGCCATGATTCAGAGACTCTAGTTGTCACAAACCTACTGTCCTTTTAGCTGGACCATCTGAAACACATGTTCTTCCCATTGCCCTGGTAGGCTTAGAATGAGCAGGAGGGTCTGGTGACAGAAATTAAACACTTTGATATAGAAGTGACACATGTCACTAGTACTGACATTGACTACAACTGGTTACTGGTGATTATTACAATTTCTACATCTCCCAAAAGTTTCTTTTCTTCTCTTTTTTTTTTTTTTTTTTTCTTTTCTTTTAAAGCTAAATTAGAAGTGAGTATTTAGGGCTACCCTTGTAACATGATGGTTAAGGTGGATGAATCCCACATGGCCAACCATGCCATTCCAGTTCTGGAACTGGCCACTTGAGAAACACACCCAGTGCATGTGTGTGTGTGTCCAAAATTCTGAAAGGAGAGAGAGGGATAGAAGAGAAGGGAGTACCCCAATGACATTCTCCATGGGGGGGCGGGGGTACTTTCTCACTTTCCCTCTCATTGTCTCTCTCCAGCAAGTGCATGTACCCTCTGGCAAATTAAAGAGAAAAAAAGGTGAGTTTTTAATGAAGTACCTGGTTAACACTTTAAATGTTTTCTTTTCAGTTTCAATGGCGATCTAATTCCTGATATATTTGGTATCACAAGTGAATCAGAACAGCCACAAGTATTATTAGGAGGGTAAGTGTGATAATCACATTATGTAATTAATAAATACATATACATATAATTAATTGTATTTTGCTGCTATGGAGACTGTCTAAATTACTTGCTTTAACCATTGGAGAAAAACTAACACATTGAACATCCTTGTTCTTGAAGATTTTTAAAAGGGTACTTGGTCAACACACAAGTTTTCTCAAACAGTTTGAATTTGATCTGCCAATGCTTTCTGTGTAGGAGCAGCTTAGGTTTTTTATCCTCTTGAAATTAGAAATACATACTTTACAGGTCCCCATTTAAATATTGGTTCATATGGTATTTTTGGAAATGGAAGGATTTAATTTCAGTGGTATGGATAGCCACAGTCTTGATTGGATTCTCCACCTTAGTCATGTTAGCTCCCAGACTTTAACTGATAAGCGGTCCTCCTTTTTTTCATTTGTTCAGTGAGTCTGAACAATCAATAATTGCCTGAAAATGTAAACAGTCTTTCTCTAAGCTCTGGAAAGTTTTCAGTGTATGCTTTATCCTTGACCAAGTGTGTGCTAGGCTTCTCATATTATCCAATGCAATTTTTAGGAAAAAACTGCCTGGAATCTTGCAATTCAAAAATCTCCATTATAATTCCTTTGGATTTAAATAGAACTATTTCTTAACTCAAGAATTCATGATAGTAAGATACTTCTCATATGATACTTTCATTCCAGTTCATTTTTTTCTTTATTTCATAAAACAAAACTTAGCTCACAGATGTAAACTACATTTGTTTACTCCTTTAGACTTTCCATGAAGTGCAGAAAACCACCTTTATCGATTTGCCTTTGCCCAGCTTTTTGGAAATCTCACGCAACTTATGTGTTTTGTAGAAGTAGTTGTTTTTATGATAGTTTTTCAGAATGTGATTCCCATCACACAGGTAAATTTTCAAAATTTAAGGTTCTGAAGAGAAGCTGTCACATTTCCTATCACGTTTCCTTAAGTTTTTAAATAAGAATGTGGGTGTCTTAGTGCTAGTCATAGTGAACTTTGAAAGAATTATTGTGAATCTTGAATGAGAAACCTGTTTTTCCCTCCAAACTTTGAAAAATTATATGGAAAAGAGTCCTGTCTTAGAGACAAATTGGACGTAGATCCTGATTTGCCTTTAGGGCCATATTTAAGATGAACTGAGAAATGGGAAGGGTGAGGGGAATACACAAGACATTCCACTCTTACCACAGCACATTGGAACTGTTCAGAAACCCTCTCTTCCTTTTCTCTCTTCAAAGGCAGACATGCACCTGAGAGTGTGATGGTGATTTCTGGTCCAGTTTATTTCATGGTAACCTCTATTTTAGCCAAGAGGTAGTTGGAATGTATCTTTAATGTAGTTTAACCTTTAGAAATTAAAATTTGGACTTGTCCTATGGCCTGGTGGTTAAGGGAGTTGAATCTCACATGGTCAACCAGACAGTTCAAATTGTAGCCCTTGTGGCTTCAAAAACATACCAGGTGAGTGTGTGTGCATGACGCAGATCCCAAGAGAATGGAGAAATGGCGGAGAAGGGATTGTGGCATGACCCCACCCTGTTGGGGGAGTACATTCTCCCTTTTTGCCCATCTCCATCTCTTTCTCTCTTTCTCTCTAGTGAACTCATAGCCTACCAGTAGCCTATCTTAGCAATATCATGATTTAGGCAACAGAAAGTTGAATATGTTCCCTAAAAATTAATGTGTATTAATACATTACTAAAACAAGAAAACTATATTTAGTCTATAGCAGTTTTATAAATAACAAGCATGTGCTTTATGCATGTTAGGAAAAAGCCATGAAAGTTATAAGCATTGGCATTTTAGACTAGTCTCATGACCTTGATTGACAGTCCAATCTGACTTAGCCTCTGGCAATTAAAAAAAAAAAGTCCCTGAAGGCAGGTTCAGTGGCACTTTTCATATATTATATTCTGATATGCTCCGATATACTGGAATAATACTCTGGTATTTTATAATATCTCTCATTTAAATTTCAGTTACAGATTAAATAATAGTAAGTAGCTCACCATACTCTTCAGTAACAAGTTTGAATCTAAGATTTGTCCTGATGCCAATGAAATTATATAAATTGACAGAAAATAATTTCTGTCCAAAACATTGTTTGACTAGCCTAGCAATGTCATGCTTTAGACAACATAAAGCTGACTATGTCCCCTAAAAATTAATATGCATTAATACATTACAAAAACCATAAAATATATTTAGACTTTATCAGTTTTATAAATAACAAGCACCTGCTTTGTGAATATTAGGAAAAAGCTGTAAAAGCCATTAAGCATTGACATTTTGGACTAGTCTCATGACCTTGATTGACAGTCTAATCTTATTTATCTTGAAATCTAAGTTTGCCTGATTTATCAAGAAGTCTATCCTTGGCAACTTAAATATTGTGCTGTACGGATGTGCCAGACCTAGGATAATCTTAAATTTAGTTTAATTAAGCAAGTACCTTAGTTTTATGGGAAACTTTTAACACTCTTAAAATAGAATGCTATATGCTTCCATAGAATTCTACTGGATAGCCCATGTGTGACTCTATAACCTGACCTGTTGTAGTTATCAAAGGCAGAGATTATCTGCAGGTAAAACCAACACAGCCAATTCGGCTGGAGTACAAGTGTGGGTGGTCAGCCTAAGCAGGCAGTTGTAATAGAAGAATCACTTGTAATTGGTACAGTGAGTAGTGTCTGACAGGAATAAGAAGGGGGCTAAATCTTCTGAGGTACAGAAATCACTGAAGTGTGTTAAATGGTCAAAAGTGAGGCTTTTGTTTGCACCTCAACTTCACTGCATAATGACTTGAAATAATACAATAATGTGCCACATTACTTAGAAATAACACCTAGCTATTAAGTGTTAGAGCGGCTTCTGCAGTGATGGGAGGTTATCGTTAATGAGCACTTTCTATAAAAGGATATTTGAAACTGATGTTGCATAAGCATTCAGAATATTGTTTTTAGTTTAAAAGTGAAAATACTTGTACCTATAATTCTAATCAAAGGCAAATAGAATGATGGTCTGTTCAGGTTTTTTTATGACTTACATACTGAGTTCAAACACATTTCTGGGTCAGGACCAAGTTATATACTGGGGAATATTAGTTTGAGTATGTGACAGAGAGATATTTTACTATATGTTGTTTCACAAGTGATTTCATGACTGTTTTAAGTGTAATAGTGACACTGAAAGCAGCCATTTCTGTTAGTTGTATCGATGCATTTTCTCTCCATTGCCAGGAAAAACTATCCTCTACCTAAATATAGTTAGCTATTGTCAATCCAAAAGGAATAAATCCCTATTTTCCCATCTAGCCTTGTACATTATAACCAATAACTGATTTATTAAATCACTCGTCATTTTTACTGCTGATTTTGTTTGCCGATGCATTATAGAAAATATTACATTTGTCTTAATGAAATATAATATGATATCGTGTCACTTAAATCTATTGTTTAGAAAGAATATGAAAATTATTATTAGATGTATAGCATGGAATAAATCCATATACTCCTCAAGACAGCTTTTAACTTTGTAATCAGCATTAGTAGTCTTGATCTTAAGAAAAAAGGATGACTTTGAGATGATTCATATTTTCTTGCAATTTCTCTGGCCGTCTCTTTCCCTCCTTACCCTGTGTACCATTCATATTTTTAATACTGTCATTAAAAGGAATCCATTAAAACTTGAGAAATCAGTTTTTTATCAGTATTTCCATGGAAACATCAGTTTTTTAACCTATTCTCTTAAAGAAACTTTGCTATGGGAGATAAATTTATTCATTTTCCTTATGTTTTTCACCTGTAACTGCTCATTTCAAAATTAAGCAATAGAAAAAGTGAAAAGCTTTAGCATATGGCTTTTTATGTGTTGTGATTATTTTAAGTGTTACATTACAGTTACTTAAGGATGTATAATTTCATTTCCAGGATTCTCTTTGAATTGAGGGGCCAATTAAATGACCTAATATTTTCTTAGTGTTTTATCATACTGTTTGGGGTTCGGGTTGACAGTCTTGTTTTGTTTAATTTTCAGATAGGGTCTTGCCATGTCACAATCCTGCTGCCTTAGCCTCCCAGCTAGAACTACAGGTGTGTGCCACCATACTGGCCCGTTTTTTTAAGGAATTATTTTATTTAACTTTATTTATTTATTTATTTTAATTTGACCAGAAAAGGACAGAGTGAGAGTGAGAGAGAGAGAGAGAGGGAGGGAGGGAGAATAAGAAAGCAAGCTGCCAGGTCCAGAACTCCAACCATGGTCAGCCATGTGGGAGTCCAGCACCCTTAACAAACGCCACCTGCCAGCCCACACACTGACTCTTTTTATAGACACTGTTTTGCTTTGTTGGCCTGAGCTTGCAGTCATCCTGCCTTAGCCTCCTAGGTTGGTTGAATTACAGGCACACACCACCATGCTCAGCCTTCAGGTTGGACTGAAAATCGAATCCTGGTGTCCTATGTGGTTCCACACTATAGAGCACAGTATCTTACCAGTATCAGTACTTCTATCGTGACTGAGTTGGTGGTAGTGTATTTAAGTGAAATTTTTTGTTTCCTAGTGAGTGGCTTAATGTATGTTCTCAGGCCCAGTAGGTGACATGGTGTTTTAAGACACTGAATTCCCACATTGGTGACCATGGTTTGAGTCCCAGACCTGGTGGCTTGAAAATCACTCTGGGAGCATATGAATGTATGCCCAAAATAAAACCCAAGAGGAGAATGGAGGAGAAGGGACTGCCGTGTGGCCATCCCCCATGAGGGATGATTTCTCACAACTTACCCTCTCTGTCTCTTTTCAGTGAGCAAACATGCCCTATGGCAAAAACCTTAAAAAGAAAAAAGAAAACATGTTTTCAAAATGTTTCACTTTGCTTTTATTTAAATCTTAATAATTTTGTATTTATGATAATCATTTTTGTGGTCATCATTCTGAAAGTTATTGTCAGCTTCTTTTTTTGGAGAGATTTTTGCTATAGGGTGCGTGCG